CTTCAGTTATCTGCCTCTAAAACTTGTCACAACTGAACAGGTAACTGTTCTTCAGTTCTCTGCCTCTAAAACTAATTATAAAAACTTGTCACAACTGAACAGGTAACTGTTCTTCAGTTCTCTGCCTCTAAAACTAGTTATAAAAACTTGTCACAACTGAACAGGTAACTGTTCTTCAGTTCTCTGCCTCTAAAACTTGTCACAACTGAACAGGTAACTGATCTTCAGTTCTCTGCCTCTAAAACTTGTCACAACTGAATAGGTAACTGTTCTTCAGTTCTTTGCCTCTAAAACTAGTTATAAAAACTCGTCACAACTGAACAGGTAACTGATCTTCAGTTCTCTGCCTCCAAAACTAGTAATAAAAACTCGTCCCAACTGAACAGGTAACTGATCTTCAGTTCTCTGCCTCTAAAACTCGTCACAACTGAACAGGTAACTGTTCTTCAGTTCTCTGCCTCTAAAACTAGTTATAAAAACTCGTCACAACTGAACAGGTAACTGATCTTCAGTTCTCTGCCTCTAAAACTTGTCACAACTGAACAGGTAACTGTTCTTCAGTTCTCTGCCTTAACTTTATCATCATTACCGGTATTATAAAATAGATCCTAAGTGTTAGCCTAGCTTCTATTAAACTTCGAGTTAGAATAGCTTGAATTTCACGCAAAGTTACTCGAGGGCTATCTGCGCTAGTCGTCCCTAATTTATAACAGGTAGATTAGAGGGAAGGAAACTATTCAACACCACCCACCGCCATTTCATGGACTACTATTTTACTAACGAATAGTGGGTTTAACCCTCACATTATAACTCGAGCATGTTTGAGCATTACGTCAGTAAAGTCATTAAAAAAAATCCAATTAGATATCTACGAACCCATCTCTTGTAGTCGGTAAAGTATTCAATGTGTTACAAAAACATTCCATTACTTATAGCTAGTAAAGAACAAATCGTCCATTACAACCAGAAAAAAACAGTTAAAAATCTCAGACTTGGCAGTCTCAGTTAATCAGTGGTATTAGCTGATGTATTATGTGTGGCGGTACCTTGATTCCTGTAAAACAGGTTTAACTTTCCCCTGGATTACATTTTACATGAATTAATTGAGGTATTCTACACAGCTTTTTTCTTTATGATGAAATTTAAATTGGAACACCCATTTTGATTCAAATTGATCTCAAGTTTGATTATTTCGTAAAAAGTTTAATTTTTTTTTTTTTACATATTACTGTAAAATCGTTTTGACTAAACTTTATATTTTTAACCAGAGAGTTTTCTTGGGAAAAGAAAAATGTTTTTTGTTTGATGATTAACAAATATCCACCTAGAGGTAAAATAAAGAACTAGTTTAGTTTCTGACAACTACAGTTTTCAATAATCAGTAGTAGATGGTGAAACTTAAATGCAGAGTTTGTTAAAATATACGATCCGAAATAAATGATCAAACACGAAACATTCGTCGAAGTGTCTTCGCGCCAAAATATTATTATAAAGGCTCTGATACTTAAAACTCCATTTCGTGCATTTCAGATGTTTCGTTCTTGATAAACAAAACGATCATAGTTAAAGTTTGTAGTAATCTTTATTTCCGGATTGTGGTGGACTTCTTAAGCCTTACTTTAATATCCCTAATACGAACGATGCATTAGCACGAACACTAATGGTCTGCGGGGTTCAATGAATCAACCCGGGACGAGGATAAGGTGAACCGTCCAACAATGTCACACAACAACCGCTGGGTGCTAGGTAACGGTGGTATTCATTGCACTTGAGAATCGGTGAAGCGGGGAGCAGGGAATTCCCGTCAAATGTGCCGTGGGAGCCGAGGGACCCCGAGGTCCTACCGTCCCCGCCCAGTGTAAAGGTAGGAGAAGTAACAGAGACGTTGGTAGGTTGGCAACTTTGAGATAAGGAGTATTCTAAAAGGACAGACGAAATATCAATATAGAATATTTCTCATGCCTGTTTCCTCTATGTACTTGAAAAAGCATGCGTGTAGATATCTTATTATAGTAGCTCCGACGTTTGGCAAGTGAGCGGTTTCAGGCTCTGTACACTTTATTCGTTGAAAAAAGGGTTGATAATCTACAGTGATTAAATACGCTGCGGTTTAACAAACGTCCAGCTGTGTCCTGAAATATATTTTAATTCCTACTATTCCAGATGACAAATGAAGTCTGTTATTCTTCCATTATACTGGTATGACTAATGTTTCAAATTCATTTCTTTTCTTATATTACCATAAATTGCAGAATTATACATCTGTGTTATGTCCACCACGGGGATTAAACCTCGAATTCTAGCGTAATAACTCCTCAACTCCAGTGTTGAGTCATCAGGAGACTTGCTTAAAAAGTTGTCGTTGATAAGTTTTTTTTTTCTCTTTTATTTATCATAAATTTTAAATATTTCTGTAAATCTTGTTTCATAAAGTTCTGTAACATGTTCTGTTGAATGTTTTAATGTCTTTGTTCAGACTATTTTAACATTAGCTATAAAACAAACAATGAAAAGAGTAAGAACGTATGAATACTTAACTTCTCTGTTATCGTGAAATAACACTATATGTTTCTATCTTTTTTATTAGTTATGAGTCTGCCCCCTTATGGTTCTGCCACATTCATCGAACCCACTGACCCAAGTTTCACACCAGCTAAGAAGCTCAAGTTCTGTAAAGTTTGTGGAGACCGCGCCAAAAGTTATCACTTCGGGGGATTATCTTGTGACAGCTGTAAGGCTTTCTTCAGGCGGTCAGTACAAAGCGCTGGCTACAAGAACTTTCAGTGTCCCTATCGACGGACCTGTGAAATCACCATCAGCTCGAGAAAGTGCTGTCAGTTTTGTCGGTTTCAAAAATGTGTGGCCATTGGAATGGAGAAGGGCTGGGTTATGACAGAAGAGGAACGTCTACATGTTCTAAGAATTCGTATGGCAAAACGACAAGAAGAAGAAGAGAAGAAGATTCACCGACGTCAGAAGATTCGTCGAGAAAATCATCATGCAGACCTCAACGAAATCCACAAGTTTTTAACCGAAGACGACATTCAGTGCATCGAGTCTATAATGAATTCCTACGAGGTAAGCTGCTTGACGATTGCCTTCAGCAGTAGTTTGTGCAGTCAACATTGTGATCGAGGCCGAACTGAAATAATCGATATGTTCTTCACAGTTATCAAACAGCTTGCACACTTTGCTCAGCAACTCCGTTCCTTCGCGGTTATCCCACGACACGATCAGGAGATTCTGTTACGTTCTGGCGTTATGGAATTGTGCTTTCTTCGGAGTGCGTACGTGTTTGACGAAAGCCAAAGAGCT